GGGCTGTCCACAGTGACAAGCAAATCCAAAACCGGATGACGCCAACCGTTTATATACACATGTGTATATATGCATCATGCTGAGGTTGATGTTGCATGCATGATGCTTCTTCACCATTTGGGCTAAACCGACTTGTTCTTATACCATAGCTTTTTAAGTTAGATAGAAGTTATGCCACTTCATTTGATTTGCTCAGCGCTGTTATTTTACTGCATATACTGTGTCGATTTTGCACCTATGCTCTCCCTTAAATTCTATGTTGGTTCTTTGATATCCCTGGTGTAACTGCACTTGATGTGAATGTTGACAGGGCGCCTAGCTGTTTAACACCCTCCACCTCGATTACTGGTTCCAGGAGACTGTAAATCGTTGCTGGGAGGACGGGGTCCACGGTCCTCATGGTCGTGCTACTCAGAGTGGTGCCATACAGTGTGGAGCGGACTACGGCCCAGTTACCGTCCTTAGTAAATCTGGTACGCATGATTTCCAACATAGATGGATAGGAGTACTGCCGCTGTGCATGCTGAAGGAGTGTGGGCCGGCTCCGTTGTTGAAACTGGACCAGAATCGCAAAGACGACAGGTTCTGCAGAGAACGCAAGCAGAACCGGCGCCCCGTTGGTAGGCACGTTGCCTGTGCTTCCATTCGATGTACTAACCGCGTCTTTGGGTACTGAGTTTCTTTAGTTCAGATGACTGGTTTGCGATATTGTCTAAACGTTTATGTTGTTACCTCATTTAAGGTCTATCTGGATGATCTATATACTTGCACACGTCGCTAAACGGAGGGTGATCAACTTTGTTGGTATTTTTCGCGTTTGTTGCACACGTTTCTTAACCTGTTTCTGTGTCATCTTGAATTTATCGCGGATATGCTGAGAAGCTATATAGTTCATACGTTAAGTCAACGAAGAGTTATGTGGGCAAATCCATATGCTTCATTTGATCTATTTTACTTGGTTTTATCATTTCAAGTGGTTGACTGCTACTTGACATCCCCGATGTGGTTGCGCTTGATGTGAATGTTGACAAGGTGCCTGTTTATTACCCACTATCTCGTGTATCCTGGCTCTAGGAGGAAGTTGGTCGTTGCTGAAATGGACGAGGTCCACGGTCATCGTGGCCGTAAAGGGCACAAAGAATGATTCAATGCATATGGACTGTGTGTGGAGCGGGTTAAGCACCGCCATGTGTGTGTGCATGTGCTTGTGTTTGCCTGTGAAGGAGTGTGAAACATTGAAACTTGGCACCCACTAACATGCCTCCTGACCATTTTCTTTCGAGTTTACACCGGATACGGGGTGAAGTTGTCACTGGTGTGAAGCAATGCTGTGTCTTAGCCCCTGCCATGTTTAATATATACCTTCAAGCCATGATGTCTTGTGCTTTTGATGCCCCTTGTGCTTACGGTGTTCGTGTGGAGCACCGTATTGATGGTGGGTTGCTGAACATCCGTCGTTTCGGTGCGAGAACCCTAGTCTGTGAAAAAACTATCCGTATATTGCTGTTTGCTGACGACTGTGTGTTGTTTGCACACAGCGCGAATGAGTTGCAGCACATGACTAGTGCTCTGGCGTCGACATCGGCCAAATTCAGGCCAACCACCCCCACCCCAGAGGTGCAATCTCCAATGTTGTCGGGAAGCAGCACCGGTGCTGAAGCACTGGAAACCAACTCCCGCTTCTGCTACCTTGGGAGTGTGATTTCGACTAACCAGCAGCTGCACAGTGGGCTGCGTATCCGCAGCGGCGGCATTCGGGAAGCTGGAGTACTGAGTGTGGAACAACCCCCAGCTTAGCGTCGACACGAAGCTGATGCTCTACAAATCCACGATGCCATCCGTTCTATACGGCAAAGAAACGTGGACGATGTACCGGCTGGATAAGTGGTATGCCGAGCGGTTTCATCAACAGTGTCTGCGACGGTCTGTTTCGCATGAGATTACTAGTCGTTGGACCAGTACAATGCCAGGGCGTCAACGGTTGAACAGGAGAATGACTTGGGTTTTTGACCAAAGCCTTCGATAAAATGTACTCTCGAAAAGCAACGGGCCGCGCGCTAAGAGTCAGTGAACCGACTCACGCAGGCAACCCAATTCCCACCCAACGGTCGCCACAAAGCGTCCACGACATTAGTACATGGTACAACACTAGAAGCAGAGGGTTGACGATATGTTAGGATATAACCAACATAATCCTAAAAAAGGAAACTGAGAATCAGACGTAAAATTCATCGCAGAGACGTGTAGATTAAAAGAAAGAAGATTCAGGCTCACCTGAGCTCCACAATAAGATCAGCAATCTGACGAGAACAGCGGACACTAGCAGCACGGATTTCTTTTGTTGGAAAAACCTGCTGCGGGGATTCAATACTACTTCTATGAGTGGAAAACGGCTTCGAATATATATATATATATATATATATATATATATATATATATATATGCATTATTCCTCCACAGTGAACCCAATGAAATTCAATGTTTGTTCTTCAAGTTATGCTAAGAAGATCAAATTAGAGAACGTCATAGGTACCCACCTTGGCGACGTTGACCTGATGGATTCAGGTATTACCGTATGGTACCATCCGAAAAAAGGTGACAGCTGCTGCGCAAAAAGCAAGCGGTCCGGTTACTTTGATGACAGCAGTGTGACCACTGGCACATTGGTACCATAGAAGGATGCAGCATTCGCTGCTGGTAGACGCTACTTCGGGTGTTGCGCGCACACCGTTTACAGACATTATGCAGCCATGGCGCAATCACTTTAACTCTCTTGAGAGTCCATTCAGAGATTGACTGGAAAACGTTGTACGGGCAGCAATAACCAAACATGAAAAACGACCTTGACAAAACCACGACACCTGAAATATAGAGGGCACTCTCTCAACTGTGAAGCGGCAACCACGCCGGTCCTGATGGGATAATTCCAAAAGTACTGAAAAACGGTGGAGCCGCGATTTTACATGCGCTGTACCCATTGGTGGAACGCATGTGGTTTGAAGAACAGGCGTCAGCTGAGCTAAAACATGCCATTGTGCCAAGGTTGTACAATAATAAAAAAGCAGGCGATGTGCCGACAGCTTGCTGAGTTGCGTCCAGGTGGTGATTCCTATCTGCTCAACTATCTCGTCAATCAGATCCTCGAACTAATCTTCGCTGAGGAACAGTGCAGATTCCATTCAGGCCGCAGCACCATAGATATGCTGTTCGTGACTCGTCAAATGCAGGAGAAATGCCGACGGCAAAACAAGCAATTGTGTTGGCTGTTCATGGACTTCACCAAAGCATTTCACATGATGAACCGAGATGCACTGTGGCTGATCTTGAGTAAGTTGGGTTGCCTAGGTAAATTTTTAATTGTTATTGAACGACTGCACATTGATATGCCGGCGGGAATACAGATAGCGTACAAACTTCGGATGATCTTGATGTTGTCACTGATGTGAAGCAAAACTGGGTCCTAGCTCCTACCTGTTTAATATTTATCTAATTGTTGTGATGTTTTGTGCTTTCAATGCTTGTGGGTACGGTGTCTGTCTTGGGCACCGTATTGATAGTGGGTTGCTGAATATCCATCGTTTCGGGATGAGAACCCGAGTGCGTGAGACAGCTATGTCGACGCTGTTGTTTGTCGATGATTGCGCCTTGTTTCCACACAGCGAGGACAGGTTCAAATGTATGATGACGTCTCTCGCTTCAATGTCGGCCAACTTCGAACTCAGTATCAATGCAAGTAAGAATACTGGTCGCATTTAGTGGTCACCAGGAGTGATATCCGTGGGTTACCCGCAAAGCAAGATGGGTGGTGAAGTTTTGGAGAACTCATCAAAATTTTGTGACCTTGGAGCATACTATCAACGTAACTGCTGAGCATCCGCGTTCGGAAGAAGCACCAGCTGAGCGCGAGAACCAAGCTGATGGTGCACAAACCGATGGTGCTATCAGTCCTTCTTTACGACGGCAAAACACGGACGCTATACAAGAAAGACATCCACTATCTGGAACGATTTCAATAGTAATGTCTGAGTCAGATTCGGCGAATCCGTTGGTGTGATAGAGTTCCTGACACAGAAGTGCTCTACCGAAGTGGCATGTAGGGAGTGGACTGCATACTTTTGCTGCGACACAAGTAGTTCAGACATGTACGCCGTACGGATGCGAGTAGGATAACGAAGCGTCTATCGTATAGCGAACTGAGTGCAGTGGAATGTAGGAAAAACGAAGCTGCACTACCAAGATATGATAAAAATGAGTTTATAACGAACTGACGTTGACTTTAGGTGTAGAGAGGCAATGACAGTGGATCGACGCCAATGGCGTGATCACATCAAGAATGCCGTTGCCTATGTACAACAAGAAGAAAAACTTCGGTTGCGTGAGCAACTGAGGGAGCCCAGCCCATCAACGTCAAGCACCTAGTGTTTTAGCACATGCGGCCGTGTGTCTCAGCCGGGCCGGTCTGATCAGTCATCAATGTGACCGCGCCTAGTGTGCATGTTTCGCACTGTTTACATGCACGAATAATGCGCATGTTGAAGGAGTGTAGACCGGTTTCAGATCAGTCGCGGCTCCCATCTACATGCCTCCAAGTCTTATAACATCAGGTTTAAACTGGACATGGGGTTGTCGGATGGAGCTGTGGGTGGTCCAGCGCAAGCCAGTCATGGTCACTCTGTAGGCGCAGGTGTCCTATGTCTGCTCACAGTTGCAGTGACATACAGATTTGGAAACTGACGCCAACCATAAATATACTGCGATGACGTTAAAATGAGTAATATAAATGATGACAGTTCATGGAACTTACCATTGCCGATTCGCTGGTGAAGGCAACCACTTCATAATAGGGGGAGAGCTGTTTGAGGAATAGGTCGAGTGCTGCGCGCTTTTTGAAACGCCATCCAGAGCGAAACTAGGAGCGGCATTGGACTCTTAATTCGCTCACCTTCCAGTCAGGATGAATGAGAACGTCATTGATTTCAAGTACAAGTGTATAGGGTGGTTGATAGTAAGGCGGTTCAACGGGGTCGGGAAGCAAGCGCTCGCTAACAGGATCTTTGATGTTCTGCAGGTATAGTGAAAAAGAGAAGCTTACCTGATTGAAATCCAACACTGAATTCCACGTGCGACAAACATAAGCCAACACAGGATTCACTATGGATTAGAGAAATATCACACAGGACAAACTCTTTGAATATGCATCGATTTTCTATATAAAAATAGCAAGAAATATATGCAGGCATACCGTTATCCCGTTTTCGTCCTTTTCAGGAGGGCCTGAAGGAAGGAATAATTGAAACGACTTTACGAACCCCAAAGAGCAACTGCGAAGCCGATACTAAACAAACCAGAAAGCGAAAGTCCCAGAAACCCCAACTTCCATGCGTTTTTACCTCCCCACCTTTTGCTTTCGTTGGGATCACCTTCCGAGTTTTCTTTCACAAAACCAAGCTCAGGTGCATTAGAACTAAAGCGGACAGCGGCGCCGGAGGTGCAGCACATCCTTAGCGGGCAAACCCGTTGGAGAGAGCTGGCGAAAGGGATCATTTTGTAGTGAGCAATGGTCCGACTGAGCGGTGCAATAGCTCTAATAGGCTGAAAAAAACAGAATGTGTACCCTTGGCTGGAATTGCAGCGCGGCTCAGCACAGTACAAAGACGGAGCACGAATAGCACGCCAGTACCCCGTACCGACGCTTCGCTGCCACACGATCACAACCGATGAAGCGCGGGTTGGGTATACTGCGAAGCCGCGGAGAGAGAACAAAGGCTACATAGACAGCGGGTATCAACAGGACACAAAAAGAGTGCAAGCACATTGCAAGCGGAGAAAACAAAAGGTAACAAAAGAAAGGCTAATATGGACGGTTTACTACATTCATTGGATTAAGTGGGTGCCAACAGTGATCACTTGGGTATGGCATGTGGTAGGAAAATACATGGAATGATGTGTGACAAAGTAAGATCAAATGTGTGCGTGACAAGTGCGACGTCACGGTCCCCCCAACAATGAGCGTCAGATGCGATGCACTGCGTAAGGCAGGATTCAAGCAAAATCATAACAGCAGTAGTATCGAAGCATTCGGCTGCACTTGGAACAGATAGGTCAGTTGCGTCACAAACCCTCCGATGCGACAACTCGGTGGCTAGTTTGAGGCAACCAAAGCGCATAACAAATAAATTTCCGCCTTATGATAAACTTCAAGTTCAAGTGAGACTTCAAGGGTAGGATTATCCCGAGAGTGCTCCTTCTACAGCGGGTCGTTAAACCAGGAATTGGCAGACTTTGAAATCCAGATGGACCTAAAACAAAGACCCCATCATACCCCGTCCAATCAATTATTGCCCACGTATTCCGTCCTAGCAGTCCCTACTGGGCCGGTTACGTGAAGTAAGGAAGGTGGAACAGTAAAATCAGAGGGCAAGAGGCCTGAACAACCTATCGTGTATTCTCTCGGATCGGCCAACATGCAGCGCAGACGGGTCGACGGTCAAGTTTGTTTTGGTTCGCCCTGAATTTGGAAAATCAAAAAGATCTTCGGGTGCTTACAAGAGATTGTTAAAGGGGGAAAGCGATTAAACGTCGGCCGGTACTTCGTCCCAAAACGCTTTCCGGCCACATGACCACGGATTGCGAGACAGGTAGACAGGGCTTTGCCATCTAGCACAAAAGATAACACATGCAGTCACAGTTCTCGGATGAAATTTTTATTTTCTATTTGATGCACCAAGTTTCCAGCTCGTGCAGATCCGCTTGTATGTCAGCTAGTGCGGTAGTGAATTTATCCAACTCGAGTTTATAGACAATTTTAGTGTCATCTGCGAATACATATGGTTTGCCGTGTTTGATGACATTGAAGACGTCGTTAATGCACATCAAAAACAGAAAAGGTCCTAGAACACTTCTTGGATCACGTCACTTGTGACATTTCTACTCATGGAAGTATTGCTTAGTATTTCAACTGCCTGATGCCGACCAGAAAGGTACGATGCTATCCAAGAATGTAAATTGCCAGATATACCAAAGGAATGTACTTTCGATAGAAGATTTCCATGTGGTACCCGATGGAACGCTCAACGCATATCAAGAAATATGATGATCAGACGCTTACGACGATCAATTGAACGAGCAATGAAGTTTAGAAATTGTACTTGACAAGTAGTACAAGACTGTGTTCCCAGAAATCCGTGCTGGGAAGTATTGATCAAATTCCGGGACGATAGGAAATCACCAAGTTTGGCTTTTATTACCCTTTCCTCTGTTCTACAAAGAATAGAGGAATGGCTGATGGGCCGATAGCTCGTCTGTAATTGACATGGGCCACTTTTATATCGTGATGAAACCAAAGCATATTTCCACACATCTGGAACAAGCCCAGACTTCATGGATAACGTAAAAAGATTTTGAAGCAGTATGAAGATTTCAGGGCAGCCGAATTTGAGCATGGCAGACGGTATGCCATTCGGGCCAAGATAAAAGCTTGTTCGCATTGACTATATCATAGGTCTTATGTCCGATTGCTCAAATTCAATAGTACATATGTAATCTGCAGTGTTAGTGGGCATGCTTACCATCGGTACTATGCACGACTCTGTGAAAAACAATGGGTAGTATTCATTGAAAATTGCACACATCTGAGCCGGGTTTGCAGAAAGGCTGTTGTTGTGTAGGATAATAGAAGGTGGTATGTCATGCTTGAAGTTGCTCCTGTGCTGGAGTAGTCTAGTCATTTCCCTAGGTTTATTGCAGGAGGCTAAGGCGTTGGTCTCATCTCTGAGAGGTCTTAAGGACCGATTTGTTTCTAAGGATGACAATATTTGATTTTGCTGAATTAATAGACTAAAATCGTTAGCCTTTTTAAGTCTATATCGTAGCTTCTTCAGCTTTCGTATTATATGCGACGGGATTTTGATCTGACTAGTTTGGAGGGAAGTACACCTGTGACGCATCGGGCAGAAGACATCTAGACACGTGATTACGTTTGGGTGTAATAAGTCAGCTGCATGTTTAGTTTCAGGGGAGATGAAATAGTCATCCTAGTCTGGAGATCGCAATTTGATTGCAGTCTTTTCAGTTAATCATGTAATAGTGACGAAAACTTATAATCCTTTGAATGCATCGTGGTTGTAGGCGATTCCTTTGAAGCCGATCGCTGCTATCTTGTGGTCAGTCCCAGGAAGATTGGAGAGGATGCGTTTGCTTCTAAGACTTATGTCTAGCAAGTGTTCACCTCTTGTTGAAGATGAAATCTGTTGTATCCAATCAAAGGTATGGATTGCTGAAACAAAATACGAATATTTTAGTGGGGACCGTGGTGGATACCAGGGAATCTCAGACATATTAGTCTCCACCAATAATTTGCTGAGTTGCCGGCTACTCAGAGGTATATGAAAAGACTTCTACGAAGCGAAGGATATCCGATTTACGACAGGGTGGTGGGTTGTACACACAACCAATTAGGGTGGTTTTGCACTTTAGTTGAATGTTAATCCAAACAGAGTCATCAAGGTCAGCTAGAAGTGGGTCGCACACAGAAGTTGCATTGTGCTTATTGTCTACATATATTCGGCAACTGCCACTACGGCGGGTTATGCGACTACTGCTAAAGCGCCTTAGTGGCTGATTTGTTGTACAAAGAATGCATAAGCTACTGTTGCTGCCTCGGTGTATCACAGACGAAAATCATCGATTATAACCAAAACAGTAGTTACAAGTAGGTTTATATAATAAGGGGCGGTTCACTGTTCACTATCTTGGTATTGAAGTCATCATCATCCTCATCAACATCATCATCAGCAACAGTAGTACATCAGCCATTTGAACTGATGCTTCGCTGCCATACAACCATGAGGACTTACCAAATAAAGAATAAGAAAAGGGAGAGAAGCGGGACTTACCTGAAAACCCTAATGCCCTAAGCAAACATTCAGGGTCAAGGCGCCTACACCTTGTGTAGACAACACACTGTCACAACCAGCTGGCTATCGTGCAAAGACAAGGCGGCATCGGCGAAACAGCTTCCTTGCGGCTTTCACTGCCACGCGTCATAATCAGCCATTACCCTGCAGATAACTCAGCACCAAACACACTTTAAACAGGCAATCCAATTAGGAGACGGCAGCAGACGCGCCACTGGTGTCTACTGCGAGCCATGTCCTGTAAAGTCTCGAGCCAAGCAAAAGGCGTTATGTGGACTCCATTCGGAAAGCCGAGGAGGACCAACGGCACCCAGTTTGGTCGTCAGTGACTTCATTTCCCGCTGCCAAGTCAACTTTTGACCACCTCGAGCCTTGTGGCAGACTAAGCAAGACCCTCCTAGGCAAGCGGTGACCAAGCATACGTAGCACGTGCCCGAGCCAACGCAACTTATTCAGTGCTATCTGTTGTTCTAGGGAGCTAGTACTCGCCTACGCACATCATCATTGCAGACACGCTGGTGCCATCGGACACCAACAATGCTTCGCAGACAACGATGATCAAAGACTTGAAAGCGCCTCAGATCTTCAGTCCAAAGGGGCCAAGTCTCAGTACCTTAGAGCAGAAGGGCCCTCACTGTGGCCTTGTAAACATGGCCTTTCAGACGAACGGAAACTCCCTTCTGTCGCCAAAGATGATGCAGGTTCAAGAAGGTAGCTCTGACTTTTGCATTGCTGATGCAGCTGCCAAGTCAGGTGAACTGATCAACCACCTCGAGTTCCTCGTTAGCATGCGTCAATGGGTCATCAAGTGGCTGGTGGTCCTGCAGCAACACTTTGCACTTTGAAGGTGCGAAGTGCATACCAAATAATGGGACCACTCTGGAAAGGCTATTCAGGGTTGATTGTGCCGCCCCAACATCGTCGAAAAGCAAGACGATATCGTCCGCATAATCTAGTCCAACTAGCCTTTCACCAGGCAGCACTTCAACGCCTACATCGTTGCATTCCGTCAGGGAACACTCCATGATAGAATCCACGAAGAAATTGAACAAAAACGGGGAAATCAGACAACCCTGACGAACGCCACTTGTGGTCGGAAAGCTACCCGATAGGACACCGTAGACCCTGACGCCGCCTGTAGTGTTCGAGTATAGAGCATGAAAGGTGTTCACATATTTCGTGGGAACACTTTTCCGCGCAAGTATTTCGAACAGAATCGATCGATCGACTGAATCGAACGCACTCCTGAAATCGAGGAACACAGCTATTGTCGATCTGCGGTATGCGTGGCGCTGCTCTAGCACCTGCCGCAAAGTGAATATATGGTCTATACAGCCACGTCCTGGGCGAAAACTAGCCTGCTCTTCCCTAATCCGAGATTCCCATTCCGCAGTGAGGCGACGAACAAGAATCGAGGCCAGTAATTTTGTCACAACTGGCGTTAGGCTAATACCCCTGTGGTTAGAACAGTCTGTGCGACTGCCCTTCTTGTATATTGCCACTATAATCTATTCGCTCCAATTAGCCGGGACACTTCCTTCCAGATACATTCGAATAGGGAGGTCAGTGCTTTGCAGAGGACCTCACCTCCATCCTTAAATAGTGCAGGTAGGAGGGAATCCGGGCCAGCGGCACGAAAACAATTAAGGGCTGTGATCGCGTTTCGGACCTCGGCTTC